GTGTGAATTTTGGGGGTGCACAGGCATGCATTCTGTAACAACTTCACAGCAATACCATTAATATCAGGAGCCTTGACATTGGTTGGACAGAATTCAAATCCTGACTTTCGCCCTTCCCCACAGCCCATCATTCAGTGGCGTGTTGTGATTAGCAGGTTACCTCAAAAAGCAAAACCTCAGTTTGCTCCTCTGTTTAAAGAGGTCATATCTTTCTTGTAATATTGCTGAGAGAAGATTTAATGAAACTGTTTGAAAAAAGACTCATCATAGTGCTTAGAACACAGAAAGCAAATGACAATAAATGTTGGTAGTCAGGATCATGGATATTAGCAGGTTATTTCTGGAGCAGCAGAGCTCAAGAGCAAAGCAGTGCCTGAATTTGATTCTAAGTTCTTCTGCTTCTATTTATATAACCTTGGGAAATCATTTAAACTCCCTATGCCTCAGTTTTCTCATAATAATTAAAGGGTTGAGATAAAAATAAAGATAGATAGATAGATATAATTATGTAAAATCATTAGGGCAGTGAATCACTTTGCTCTCTATTATTAATTATGCCAAAACGATGTTAATGATAGCAGTATAGCAATGACTTCTTTATTTTGACCAAGAATAAGAAAATTGATACTTTTTCTCCCAATAAATCTGCTTTTTCCCTGATACAATAAATGTCTCAATCATCTACCCTGTTCATAAATAATCTAGGTGTGGGCTGGCCAATCAGCTCAGCTGTTTTAAATGTGACTATGTAACATCAAAGTCAAGGGTTCAGATCCTCCTAAATGCCAGCCAATCAATCAATCGATCAATCAATCAATCAATAAACAAATAAATAATCTAGGTGTTATACATTATTTTTCTTTTTCCGTCACCCTTCATAACTAATACCTGAGAAGGGTAGTATCTTCTGTTCTGCATATCAAAATATGTGGATTTTATCCATGTCTTAGGTCTGATTCTCCAGAAGGAAACCCTGAAGCAAGGATTTGTGTGCAACCAATTGATTAACAAATCGGTTCCACATAAGGAAGTGAGGAATAATGTGGGAAGCAGGACAGGGGAGGAAAAGAATCCATGTAAAGGTGTCAAAGTCCCAGATTCAGCATGATTCTATAGGGAAGCTCTGGGATGTAAATAATGTGTGGGTTTTTGTTCTTCTACACATTGTAGACACTGAGTAAGGAATCCCATGGGAGATATTCATAAACTTGCAGGCACTTTAGACTACCTGTACATGTGGGAAAAGTGACTTAAGTAGTCAAGGGAAGTTATTCAAAGATAGTTGCAAGTCTAGGCCATTGGAAGCAAAACCTCAGAAAATTTGTGTGTGTGTGTGTGTGTGTGTGTGGCCATATTAAGGGTCAAGGGAAACCTGAGTAGAGTATCAATGTCTCCATCAAGTCATTCTATGTATGTCACCATTACCTCTTACTGGACTAGAGCAATAGACTCTAAATGATCTCTGCCTTAACCAAATTGCTTTCCCACCGTGTAATCCATTTTCCAGTCTGTAGCCAGATTAATCTTTCATAAACATGTCATGTTAAAATATTTCAACAGCTTAACATTGTACTGAAAATGAATGTGAATCTTTTACTTTGGCTAAGTCTTTAGTTTTATCTAATACAGCTGGAATTTTTTTCTGCTCAAATGCCTACATTCCGCACAAAGTGGGCATTATAGTCAGAGCAGAGCTCAGGAAATGAAGAGTGCTGTTTAATTTCTCTTGTGAGGGTGATCATCAAGTTCAATAGCCAAAAGAAATTCTCCTTGTAGGAAGAAACCAGGGTACCCAGTTTTCTTGAATAAGGAATTTGTTGTATTTTATCAAAATGAGGTAACAGCTATCCTTGAGATTCTGTGTCTGTGCATTTTCCACTGCACAATAACTAATCTACAAAACTTGGGTCATGTTCTGGGACACTGGCCACTAGATGTTACTTTTCCATTACACATTTTCTGAGCATTATTTGACATTGTAGATTTCTGATATTTATTTTAAAGGTTTGCATTTGTTGTGGCTTCAATTTACCAATTATCCCATAGTTTATAGGATTATGAATAGCCACAAAAAGTCCTGATAAATGATAATGACCATCGCGAGATTTCAGAGTCAGAAAATGATGTGACTTTGGATTTCTGCCATGCTGGAATGTGTGTATTTATAATGTGTATGTATTATGCTATGTAAGAGCATTTTTAAACAATAGATATGGAAATTAGGGTGCATAGATGTGCTGGACTGAGCCAATCACTCTGGATCATAGTAAGCATTTATAATTTTACTCTCCAATCACTAATCTCTTTTCTGCTGTGTTTGACCCATATCTCTATGGCTGTGGTGGGTGCAACCATGGCTGATGATTATGATGATGATGGTGATGGTGGTGATAACACTAACATGTTAAGTTGTGTGCCAGCACCATGCTGTTTTACATTCATTATCTTAACTAAGAAATAGCATTTAAGGCTATGGATGTGAAACCTGGTTCTAGTACTTATTACCTGTATGACTAGTCAAGTTACTTAAATTCTGCATGCCTCAGTTTTCTCATAGGTCTATGCTCCTGTAAAAATAAGTTCCCATAATACACATGACTATTAGTTCAAATTGATAAAAATTCAAAACAAAATTAAGAACAATACATTGTGAGTCAGATACTAATAATTCTCCTTTTATAGATGGAGTGATTTAGACCAAGCGATATGGACAAATATCTCAAAGTCTCTCAGATAGTAAGGAGTAAAACCTTGTATTTGACCTTTATACCTTGATAGCCTCATTACCGAATTATAGATGTTTGGTCCATCATTGAGTATCAGGCCTCAGCCAAGTCAATCAGAGTCCATTTCCAGGATTTTTAAAACCCAAGTTAGAAAATACTATACTTGCTTTATGGAGTGAAAGATGTTAAATCTGAACTGAGGAGATATTGTCACCTTTATATTCCATTAGGTTGAGGAAGCTTAGTCAAAGTGAGAGAAAAGAAACAGAGAGAAAGAGAGAATGAATGTATAGTACTCAGATCTCTAATTCTAGATTTCATGATCAAGAAATGGTCAGTTAATCCTTTGTCATTTTCATTTTTATCCTTTCACACAATTTGATTTTATAATTTAATGATTTTTTTTCTTGCCTACATTGGTTTGACATGGGTTTCAGTTGCTTAACAAATCATTATCATCATCACTTCACATCTTCTAAATTAAATATAGAAATTAAAAATAATGTGCTAACAAATAAAACTAATTCTGAAATGCTGACTGAACTATGGTTTTAATGCAAGAAGAATCAATAGCTCAACAAGGAGACACTGTATGCTTGAAAATTATGGATCAAATTATCCCATAGGTAAAACACTGTATCTAATTTTACAATATCAATTTTGTTATTTTAGGGAATAAATATGTGTTGTTCTGAATTGTCAGGCAAAATGTTTCCATTTAGTGCATGCAGTCCTCAGTCTTAAGTAAATTTGAGTGGTCTGCTCAACTAATTGCTGAAAAGGAGATAGTTATTGATTGTAAAGAATCAATATGGTGCTAAGTATTGCAAGACATTATCCTATGTATATTTGGTACCATTTAATGTGCCTTGAGACAACATTTCAACCAATTGTGAAAAGAAGATGAAGAAAGAGGAGGATGAGGAGGCAGCGGAGGAAGAGGTGGATGAGAAGAAACAGCTTGTAAAACGATGGTAGATATGGGAAGAAAACAGTGCCCTTCAAAGTATATAGCCTCAAACATCTATGTATATATTGATATTCTACTTTTATTAGACTTCAGAACTTTGGAGCACTAAACATAATTACTGCATATTGTAGAACTTATTTTTTTCAGAATATTTAGTGTTTTAAATTACAAATATATTCATATTTATATGACTGTGATAGAAAAATCTTAAAATCAGCTGTTAAATTTCTTCATTTAGTTGAGCTGTATTTTCTCCCTACTTATCTATGCTGTATATGAGTTTTTAATGACAATTCACTGCTGAAATATAGAAAAATAATGTATATATTATATATTACTTATAAAATTTAAGTAATATTTGAAATAAGTTTTTTAGTTTAAAGATTATGTGAATGTGAAGCACAACCTAATAAAACAATTTTTATCCCCTGCTCTTTAGGAGAAACAGATAATACATTGAATTTGACATTCTGCTGAAGCTGCGGATAATGAGGACTTACCATTGCCTTCCATTATTCATCTGGACCTGTATGTTCCATACAGTTGACACCATCCCATTACAACAAAAAGCTAACAGTCATTTACTAAGCAAAAGGATATTGGATGTGACAAAAGATGACAGTAAAATTCTACGTCGCACTAAGCGTGGCTGGATGTGGAATCAGTTCTTCTTGTTGGAAGAGTATACAGGTACAGACACACAATATGTAGGCAAGGTAAGAATTTTTTGTATGAAATATCTGGAAGCTGAAAGTGATAGCCGTTTATTTTTTACTGCAACTTTCCACATCACTAATAATTATTCAAAAATATTTGACTAATTATGATGCTCAGAATGCATGATATTGCAAATTCTCTCAGTGGGAGGTAGGATGGAAAATGTGTCTTATTTAGGTGCTAAATGTATATTAGTATCCATAATAAGCATCAAAATATGATAAGCCATATGTGGACTTGATTAACTATTAGTCAGCTAGATATGATTTAATTCTATGTGTGTCTATCTAAAAAAAAAAATAAAAGAACTTACCTGGAAATTTAATTTACAGTCATGGGTAAATAATAGTATGTTCCATGAAGCCAAACAAAACATAATGATAATCTACCAAAAAACTTACTAAAATTTATTGATATCTATTGATAGATAGTTCATCATAATTTAAAATAGTAAATGCTGTATGAGAAATAGATACTTTTAGATGTTTTTATTTCTTAATATCAGCCACGCTGAACTTTTTCCTGCCTATAATCCTAAACTAAAGTGTTCAAGGCAGAAGGTGGAAGAAAAGACAAAGGCAGAAAGAAGACACTGCCTTTACAAAGGTGTAATTCTATGTTAGCAGCAGCAGCATCGACAGTGGCTCATTAGCAATCAGAGGCAAATGTAATAGAGAATAAGTAACTCCCTTCCTGTGTTTAATTTTGAGGAATCAAGTTTATTGCCTCTGCTTCTCTTTCTTATCTATGCATGATCTTTCTGACATCCATGATTTTCTGTTTATCTATCATCCCCTTACCAATCTCATGTATACTATTCCATACTAAGAATAATTAATTTGTTCACTGTGATTATCCCCCGTTTACACCGAATGCTGAGATACTTTCAAATTCTGAAAATAAAATGAACAAACAATTATATGCATGATCTTTCTGACATCCATGATTTTCTGTTTATCTATCATCCCCTTACCAATCTCATTTATACTATTCCATACTAAGAATAATTAATTTGTTCACTGTGATTATCCCCCATTTACACCAAATGCTGAGATACTTTCAAATTCTGAAAATAAAATGAACAAACAATTAGAAATACTAACATTGTCTTCTGATAATATATCTATTTTCTTGATTCTTGGCATATGAGCATTAGAAGTGACTGTAATGGTCTAATTATTGTTTGACTTGCTGGCAACACCAATTAAATAAATTAGAATGGGTCAAAAATGAAAACATAAAAAAGTACCTGATATCCCATAAGTTGTGCTTTAAAACCAGAAATATATTTATTCTGTGAAATGGCCAAAATCTTGATCTAATACTTTATTTTTTGTGTTGGCCAATATATATTTGCTGCCTTTTCCTTTTTCCGAAGCCTATTATTTCCTCTTCTTTTGAAATCTCTCTCTTCTGGTTCCATAGGTCGTGCTTATTATGCTCCAACAAGTTCACTTGCTGACTTCTTTTTCTGTTATTTCTTCTCAGGTTAATCATATGGCATCCCCTAGCATCCCTCATTTAACATCACTTTTCACACTACACTTAATAACTAACATCAGGATATTTCAAGTTCAGCTAGCAAACGTTTGTGTCTAAAGACTTGAAATTGCCTTATGATTCTTCTTCTAAGGCAATGTACAAAGTACACATTCAGGTCACAGGGCCTTACAGAAACGGTTTCATCCTTGGCATTTCATAGATACAGAAGAACAGCCACAGATAAAAAGAGATACTTGTAATTTTAAGGCAGTAAAGACTCTATTACAAGCATTTATTTTTAGCTGAAAACAAAATTGTTCCCTTCTAAAAATTGAGTGTGTATTAACTAATTTTTAAATTGATCACCATTCCTGAATTGACCTTTTAAAATATAAAAAAAATCTTTGTGTACTATCTAGCTTATTTTTCATTTAGTTCTGTAATCTGTCATAGACAATTAGTAAAAGTATGTGCATAGTTTTATTCAATTATTTTTCATACAGTATTTTATCATTTGTCTTGGAAAAATCACCTTTTTTTCATCACTCATGGACAAGTTCAATTTTTGTGCTCATTTATCCTCACAACCAGATCATGAGCCAAAAATGGAAAACTCATTATAAAAATCAAATTTTTTTGTCAAATGAAGAAAATCAAACCAAAACTGTAAAATATTTTTATACTTTCTATGGAAAATAATATGTATATTATTATGTAATATGTATATGAAAATAATATGTATATGAAAATAATATGTATATGTATAACACCTCGACTACTTTTTGAAAAAATAAAATAAATGAAGAAAATCAAACCAAAACTGTAAAATATTTTTATACTTTCTATGGAAAATAATATGTATATGAAAGAGAAACTTCAACAAAATATAACACCTCGACTACTTTTTGAAAAAATAAAATGAAATACTGCTTCTGTTTTGTTATAGGGCCTTGTCTTAGATATGCCATAACCATTTATCTAGNAAATACTGCTTCTGTTTTGTTATAGGGCCTTGTCTTAGATATGCCATAACCATTTATCTAGTTCACTATAAAAGTGGTCTTTCACCACCTCTTAGTATTATTAAGTTATTAAAAGTTTAAGCACTCTCTCCTAACCTGCTCTCCTGGCTTTTGACATCATTATTAATCAGCATATACAGAGGCTAGCCAGGTCCTTGACCAGGAAGTTGTTCAAATGCATAAATTCATGTAAACGTGCATGTAACTTCTTGAGCACTACACAGATTGTCTTTTTGACCACAGTGCTTCTGGATGCCCTGGGTAAACCCAAACTTAGTCTTCCAGGATCCACTGCATTGGTGGTAGCCCCCATGAATTAATGGCCTGGCACATTCTCTGTGCACCATGATTGGGAAGGAGTAGGTAGCTTCTGAGGAGATGATGTTTTCATAATTTGTTCTTAGTTTGGCACAAGCTAGGTAACACAGAAATTAAGAACCATATTACTGAATAGATGATATAAAATTATATAAAGTTAAAAGGACATATAATCCTTGGAGGTAAAAACTAGAGTTTGATTCTGAATTTAGAGGAAGCAACTTTAGAAAAAATAAACAGTAGCAGCAAAATTGAATAAACTGCATATGTACACATGCACAAGCATGCAGTTTACAAGATTCAGTCCTGTTTGTGCCATATAGTAATTATGTAGAACTTTAGAAGTCATTTAAACTTTCTGCTCTCAGATTCTTGTTAGGTTAAATTTAATTGTTATTAAGATTTCTGTATCTCTAAATTTCTGATATTTTCTGAAATTTTGGAGGGGCCTGCCACTGTGAGCAGGAAGAACCAGTGAAAATTTAATGTGTATATGGACAAACTCAAGATGGTGGGATTGCATATAGCACAATAAAAGAAAAAGAAAAAGAGCTGGTCTAGTGAGATAAAGTTAGATCGCCACTGTGAAAGATACAGAATTCCAGGCTGAATTGTTTTTACATATAGAATGAGATGTGAATAATCTGTTAAAAGCTCTTGTACGAATTTGTAGCAGATGAAGCACAAGTCTGGAATGTTCAGTTTGCTGCTTTCATGTCAGTGTGGACTAAAGGAGCAACTAAATGAATTAAAATTATATTTTTCTTGGAAAATACTCTCGAATTTTTCTTTATGCCATTTCAGATGTTTTAATATAGGAGCAAAATCTCAGAAATGTTAGAATTAAGAGCAAGTTTTTGTTTTTTCACAATAATGCAATTTGAAGTTTGATTGGTCACTTTTGACTGAAACTATTTGAGATTTTCTAAGATCATTTTATGTAATAAGGTAAAGCTTTGGCTTTTACCCACTAGGTTTACAAAGTCATAACAATTGCCACCTAGCTTCTCTGTAATTTGAATAAACACATGTGACCAGATTATTTAGGCAGAACACTGAACAGAAGAATTAAAATAAATTTAACAAGAAGCATTAGCAAATGCTCCTGTTTTGTTAGAGAATCTTCACATGCACTTAATATTTTTACAAATTAAATTAAGGCTCTGAAGAATCCCTGGTTATCATGGATCAATAATCAATTATTCATATTCCAAAGATTATTGAGAATTGAGCAAAATTTAACTATTTCATTTTAATACCTGGTTGTTAAACCACATTTACTGCATGAAGAGATAGCCAATATCCAACCATAGCAGGCATAGTTTTTATTCTTTTTGAAGGAAAACATTATGATTCATTAAATTTTTTTT